ATGGAGGAATTTCTGAAACACTGCACTAGTATGTAGTGCTAGTGTCAGCAAAACCAAAACTCAGATGATATTGAGACTTGCTAGGGATATCAAGGCAACAAGAAGAGCTTGTACATTACTAATAAAAGGCTGAACAAGGAAAATATGTAATGGTTGCTGAATGAAAAGGATGATTCAGCAATAGTGGACTCTGGTAAGGCTGAAGTGCTCAATGCCTTGTTCTTTGAGGTCTCTGTGCATGAGAGAGAAGAGAGGAACTACTAGCAGCAGATAAGGATCAAGTCAGGAATTACTTATGAGAACTCAACTCGTAAATGCTCATGTACCCGACAAGCTGCATCAAATCTTTATAAAGGTTCTAAAAGGACAACCTAGAGGATTACAAGCTGCTCAGCCTTACTTGTCTTAATGTCTGGCAAAAAACCAGAGCAAATCCTCTAGGAAGATATTTCTTGCAACCTGAAGCAGAGTAACAACGGAATGGAGAGTACTCTCATTAAGTTTTCAGATGAAACCCAAATGGAGGTTGCAGTTGGAGGGCTTGAGGGGCAGGTTGCCTTTTGGAGGAACCTATGGGATGAACAGATCAACAAGGTCAGGGGATAAAAGCCCCTTACGGAAAGATAGAAGGAAATAGACTTGTCTAGTTTGAAGAAGAAACAGCTTTGGGGGGAACTCTGAGCAGCGTTCCAATACCCAGGAGGAAGTTATGAAAAGGAGGAAGCAGGTTTTCCAGTGATACATGTCAGGAGAACTAGAAACAATGGACATGAATGAGAAAAAGAATGTTTCCAGCTGATTACAAGGCAAAACTTTTTCAGCATAAGGACAGCCAAGAAGTGAAGTAGGTTGCTCAGAGAGGCTCTGAGCCTCTACTTTGAGGTTTTCAAGACCAGGGTGTGTAAATCTCTAAGCAAATCTGTTTAGAGCAGGAGTTTACAGTAAATCCTTCCTGAGGTCCCTTTCAACCTGAAGTATCCTATGACACTATTAAAAAAAAAATCCTTTTATTTCTGAAACAAGAGGAAATATACTCTTTTATTTCAGGTAAAGCTGTTTCATTGGTGTTATTTTCCAAAACTCCATAATGCCCTGGTGTTTCCAGCTATTTTAACACATTGAAATCATCTAGATTTTGAACTTCTTATCTTTGATGATGAAGTCTTAAACTATTATCTGTGGCTGTTTCTAAAAGAAGCATTTTTTAACTTCTGCAATTGCGGGTTACAGATTTCATGCAACTACAACACAAATGTTGTCTTAACTACAAAAAGAACATGAAGAACGTCATGCTACTTTTAGCAGTTTCATGAACACTGGTTGAAGCTTTATTTATGAGAATTCTAGATTGTATGCTGAATTGATATGTTACTACAGTGTTTTTTACAATGCTATTTAATACTATTTGTCCTCAAGAACATATTAATACTTCTGACATAGTTTGTCTTTTGGCCATCATCTAACACATTTTTTAATACATCTACATCAGTCATTACCAACAGTAGGTTTGCTGAATGGAATCAGCTAAATCCTTTCTGGGCTTCCAGTCTTGGTAGTTTAGCTTGGTGGGCTGATAGCTTCTATTAGACAACTTCATTTCTTTTATAAACCCTATTTGCAAACATTGTTCTATTGCTAGCATTCCTCTTTATATGTGACATGAATCAGAAGAGATTTTATTCTTATGTGGAATTCTTAGAACTATATGCATTCCCAGTGTTTCTATTGTTGCTGCAAAATGCACATACTCTGGTTGAGACTAATCCTGGTTAAATATTTCCACATCTCATATAAAGTGGGTTGTTGGCATCACCAAAGTTCTTACAGTTGTATTCATTTAAACAGAATACTTCAACCCTATACTTTAATCCCAACTCTTTGTGGGATAAGGTTTAAGGTTGTGGGGTGGTTCGTTTGTTTCTTTTGTTTCCCCCTTATAAACACCAGATTTATCTCTGACATGGAAAGAGGAAACTTGTATAGTTTCATTCAATAACATAAACTGCATAGGAAGGTCTTTGTTCTGGTTCTGTGAATATACTCTTGTACATCAGCATGAATATTCTCCTAGTCAATTGAGCATTAGATGTCTGATTGTGATTTCTCTGGAGATTAAGCATTTTGTTGTGGTGTGACAAGTCTGTAGAAAAACTCAACTTATCCCACTGAGATATTTTGGTGCTCCAAGGCACAAAAGGAAGCAAACATTTGTCTCTCATATGGTCTATACTTTTTTTTAACCTTTCTGACAAATATATGAGACATATGCCATTTGTCTTAGTTTTATTTCTTTCTCGTGGCTCAACACTGCACTCATTCAGTGTTCCGTAACTTTTAACTCAGAAGGTCTTGTTGGCTATATATGTCACTAAATAAAATAGGACTAAGGGCTGCTTTCTGTCCGTGAGGCTAAATGGCACAGAGTGGCTGCAGGCACACTGCATAACACTTGGCCTTGAGTGTCGCCTCAAGGGGACAAAGTGTCTGAAATAAAGTGAGGGTCACATTGCAGGTTTTTAGCACAGGGTTTTTCTAGTATGAAACAGAGAATTTGCAGCACACTGTGGTGTGTGGCAGGAGGAGTGTGTCATGGTGCCAAACTTCCAAGACAGTTTTAGAGAAACCATCAAGGATGATGTTGGGTATTGGGAATGATTCCTGGCAAATGCTATCCCCATGCCTGGGCATTGTCTGGAAGGGTGCTGGTTTGCACGAGGCAAACTGAGCAGAACAAAGTCAAGCAGTGTGAAAACCAGCGGTCCAGTGCTGAAATTCAAGCTCTGTTTATTTAGCATTATGGCTATGTAGGCATAATGCAAATGCATGCACAGACATTGTGTCTCTGTACGTGCATGCTGAAGCCTTGTGTATAACTTCTGTCCCTCTTCATTGTTTACTGTGTTTGGTACTTTTCAAGTGAGCTGTTGTGTACAGTCACCTTTTCTGTACAGATTTCAATGAGACGCTTGTCCAAATCTTGTCCCCAAAAGATCTCAAAAGTTGTGATGTATGTAGGCAGCGTAAACCTCAGTGGACCAGAGATAAGGGAAGATAACCCTATGGATACTGTTTTCCAGATCAAAAATGACATCTCACTGTGATGATGTACATGTAGACTTAAGAAATGTTGAGGTTTCGTTTCATATGTAAACAGTGTGCATAAATTTATCTGTTGCATCAGAGTAATTTGCAGAAAGAATGTCATGTGAATAGTTCAGACAGTACAGGTTTAATTAGCAGTGGAGAAAGCTACATCCTACACTAAAAGCAGACCACACAGCTATGAACAATTTCTGTAGGCTGTCAGGTTTTAAGCTCATTCTGTGGAAGCCTTTCTGTTGACCAGCTCTAAGCTTCTTTAAACAATAACAAACAATTCTATAATAGCCAGGTAGTAGACTGAATTCCCTGATGTCATGGGACTTTTGCTAATGTTACTCCGAGTTGTGTAACACAGTATTCCTAGCACACTAGAATGGATACAGTCACTGTTACAGGTTAAACAGCTGTCAGCATATGAACTTAACTTGACACTTGGGCAGGAATCTTTTATGCCAGCCCACCTGCAGCCTTCATCAACCAAAACTACCAGTGGACTAGCTGTAGAAGTTGGAGGCAAAAGGCTCTGGTAATCAGGAGGAATAAAAGCAAGCATTGTACTGATAACACTGGATAATAGTAGATTTCAAGAGCAATACAACAAGAGTGGTTTTGGGTGGACAATATTTGAGGAAAACCAGATGTTTGAGTGAATAGTGGAATTAGATCCTGGTTATGTTTCTCCAAAAAGAAGAATAAGCATATCTTGGACCTCCTGCTGCTGAAAACCAACAGGGAGTGAATACAGTGAACACTCTTCTGGAGCTCATTGACCCTGGGAAGAGAATTCCTAAGGCAAATCGCATACAACATGTTTATATATGCTTTTTGTGGGATGAGGGAAAACAGGGTGGAAACAGGAAACTAGTGTATGTATTTGAGTTAGAAGAACTAGATACAGACTCTTCCCTACCATGGCCTGCTGTGCAGTGTTTTAAGACTCATAGTGCAACTGCCTCTGTTCCTGATCTTTTTATCCAGGATTTATATTTTCTGATTTTAGGTACTTCTGAAGACGGAATCTGCTACTAACATAGAACCCAGACACTGGCAGTGGCTAGCCCTTTTAGGAATTTCTCGAAATCAAATAATTCAACTTTGTGTGTTCATTTTTGGGAAGCACGGAGGCTAAGAAGTGGAATGCCAAAAGGAAGTCTATTTTAATTTTGTATTCTTGTTGTTAGAGAGATAGAAGAGAGACAACCCAAGAAACTGTCCCTTGTCAAATTTTATAGAGATTTTCCCCAAGCCTAGGGAACATGTCTAAGCTTTTGGGCTTTTCTGACTCTGATGCTTCACTCATCGTTAATTATAACACATGCCACTAGTCAGGGAGGTAAGAAGCAGGCAACTGAGAGCTTAAAACAAAGGGAAACAGTGCTGTTATTTTCATTTTTTCTCACCTATAATTTTTCCTTTGATTTCATTTAATTTGATAAACCTGGCAAGTTGCTGCCAGGTGGATCTCCTACACAAGTCTGTCTCGATATTTCATTATCCTTTTTATTTCTAGCATCATCATTCAGACATCTCTGTTTTCTCTAGCTAATTAGCCCGCTGTTTACGAGGTGCACATTTCTTAACATATGGTACACGGTTGCATTGCATGTGTGCTGTATTTTCATTTTCTAGTTTGAATCTTATATTTCTGATACAGTATGGCAGAAATATCAGATGCCCATCTCACAGAACAGCATTCACAGCTTCACATTGAAATGTGCCCTAATTATACTTTTGAAATCCTTACATCCCCATGTTTTCAATTAAGACATCACAGCCATTACAGTACTGTGACAACAGATTGTGATTTAAAGATGCTAGTATTTGGAGGTCACAATTTAGCAGGAGATAAAAGTCACAGGAATTAAGTGTTTAAAATAATCAAGATTAAAAAAATGTACCTTTCCAATTCAGTGGAGCAAAGTTAAACCCCATATGAAAATCCTCCACATGGCGTGATACTGTCTCTTTGAGACACTGGCATTGCATGCAGCTGTTATAAATCTTCTTCCTGTGTAAGACTGCAGAGGGAGGACCTGACTGGCAACACAAAGGAAGAAGCAGGTCTGTTCGCCTGTCTGGGAGAGAAAGAGGGAGAGGAGCGGGTGGAGGGGGAGTGAGACGCGCACACACACACACGCACAGCTGAATACAGAAAGATTCACTCCTTCTGTACAGCCCACAGACCATCTATGCCTAAATGATTCTGGTCCACCATTTGCATGATATATTAGCCTTTCAAGCTGTCTTGTGGTATTATCTGAGAGACTGTAGCTTTTGCTTTTAGCTAAGCTCATCTGCCATCGGTTTTATCTCCAGCAGGTCTCCATTTCTAGCTAATATTAACGTTATTGCAAGGAAAACCGTATACTCAGAGCTGTCCACATGCTGGAAATACACCAAGATACTGCAAGGGCTGAATTAAACAGCTTCAGTTACATAAAATTAAATTCCTGTGTCGTTAACTCTACTGGCAAAAATGCTTGTTTTTTTCCTTTTTCTTTTTTTAAAGAAAAGCCCATATCAACATTTCAGCTTTACACAATATTTACATTAAACTGGAAAAGAGAGAATTAATAATTCTGGAATAAGAGTGTTCACATGGGTTGCTACGCTCACATAACCATATCAGCTTCACTGTGGCGGTGTAACTGATAATATGTGCTGTGCTAACTTGCTCTCAGGCTCCTTCAGCTGCAGAGAGATGCAGATGTAACCTTAAATTCTCTCTAAAGCAAATCCCTCAGATGCTTTCTACCTCCCTCATCCTCCCTCAAAAAAGCCTTCAACTCCCTCTATAGGATTAGCTTTTCTCTGTACCTACCCCCTCCATGTCGAGTCTCGCCTGAATCGCTGTCAGTCATCTGGTTGCTTCCCAGCTCCTCCAGACATCCCCTCCAGCCAACGCACATATCCCTGCAAGCTCCTGCCTCAATCATGAACTGACAGCTGGAAGACAGGTAGTATGAGGATCATATCCAAGAGGTGAACAAACATTTTCAGCAGAAGCAGAGCGCCTATCCATAATACGTTATTTCCCTAACAAAAAGCAAAATAATATAATGGTTTTCTTCTTGTTGTATAGTCAGCTTTTTATCATGCACTGAACACAACAGAATTATAAGATTTCGAGTGGTTTTGTAACAGCAAGTGTAACCACAAAATACACAAATGTCTGTGAGATGTATAGTTATTTCTAATACGTGGGTTAGCCATGAAGGCTCCAGTGTTCTTATACCAAAGGTACAGCACGATAGCAGAATTTTTCTTAACATAAGGACTATACTGCACAGTGAAGGTAAGAATTATACCAAAATGGCTTCAAACATTTTCCAGCTTTTGGGCAGAGTACTGGGCACCTAAAAAGCTGGGCTATTTTTCAGTAGTAGTGAGAGGCCACAACAATTATTGACTGGGTGCTTGGCTCATTTAAAATGCAAGCCTTATTTCGATGCTTAGTATAGATTTAGGCATCTGACTGTAAACACTTGATTAAAAATATTGGCCTAGCTTTACAAATAAAGGTCAAAGGAAACATACATTACTGAGCACTGGAAAGTAAGAGTAAGACAAGGAATTAAGACAAAAGGAGTTCCAAGGATTTGTGGAGGACAAAGGAAAGAAAGCATTTGGATGCTAATTATTATTTTTATTATTAGTTAATTTCCATTTCAATTATTGAAATTATATAGCTTTTATATAGCCAGTGCTACTCTCCCTGTTGTTTTTATTATCCCTTACTCTTCTCTGTGCCTATTCAGCCTAAGCGAGAGCAGAAAATACTGTATAGAAATCCTGAGAGACAGCCTGCTCACATGAAACTTTCATCCAAATTTTAGTAGATACCAAAGGCTGAACCTTTAATTGGGCAAGGAAGAAGCTTAGGCATACCTAGGTAAAGCTGTACATTTTCAGATGTTCACCTATCATAACGATGTCCTGCTGTCACGCTTTCTACTTTTTAGCCATCCATCACGAAAATAATAAAACAGAGCCACCAGCAACCACCAAAAGAACAAATGCTTTTATTTATTATTCACCTGGATGTAGGATTTTAGTGAGACTTCTAAAGCATGTGTGTGTAAATGCTGTCTGCGTGGCGGTTATTCAAGCTTCCTTTGAATTCCATCCATCCATTTAGTCATCCCTGCCAAGTCAGTCTCTATTACTTGTATCTACTAAGATGTGTTTTAATGGTGAAAATAACAGGTTGACTTAGTAAAAATGCTGGCAGTGACACCAAGGAATGCTGGGAATTTACTAATCTGAAAAATAATGACCTTAGGGGAGCTTTGTTCCTCCTTCTCATGGGTCCTTGCTAGAAACAGCCAAATAATTATAAAAAGGAGCCAACTCAATAAACACAGTGGGAAGTATTGTGGATGTTATTATATAAATGCATTATAGATATTTTTCAGCTTTGATTTTTTTGGATATGAATTTTCTGAAACTCTTCATGCTGTTTGGTTTTGGGTTTTGTTTTTTTTTTTTTATTTTTAAATTTTTGTATCACTACTTCAATTTGCATTACCAAGGATTTTAAAAAAAACTCAAGTGAACACTAAAACAACCCCTACCTGAATCTTACAGGCCAAATACTGTATGAGTCATATTTATGAAGGGCTTTGAACTGCACAAAAAAACAAAACTCAGATACAATTTCGTATTTGATTCCAAACGTATGGATGGGTAGATTTCAGGGTAGATTTATCTCCCTTACACTGGGGACAGTCTACTCTAAGCAAAGACCAGATTCAGTTTCATGTGTCTTCTAGGGACAATGGAGGCCACAGGTTGTATGATAGGAATATGGCTGTGCTCATGGGGATTAGGGCAAATGTGGATGCCAGACTGAAAGAGTTGGTTTGGTCAGGTTTTACTGTGTAAACACATGGTATTTGTACAACATTCCAATAATACTTGTCCACAACCCTGACTTCAAATAGAAGTGATTCATGAAATGTTCCCCAAATTGATACATCTTGATTTTGACTGAAATCTGTTTTCTTAATAGTACATGTTCACAGAACCATTAGTGACTATGTGAACTATGGTGCAAAAAATGGTGCCATAAAAACCATGTTCTCTGTTATCTGCTCAGTGAAATGGCATATGTGTCAGATGTACAGGGGAGGCAGGGCTTGGACATGAAGGATTTTGCCCTCTTAAGCTCATCATAGTGAAGAAAACAGAATATAGGTGCTCTTCTATCCTGACTATACATTTGCTTGACAATTTCTCTTCTGCCTCACAGCAGCATATCTGTCACAGATATAAGTAGTCTCAGCTAAGTCACTCAAAACAGAAAGCTTCTTGCCCTCTAAATAAAATAGACATGCACTGGTAAAAAAAAAAAGTAATACACGTAGATACTACATGTAGATACAGGTAGTTCTCCCAGGATGTGGCTTATTTACATAAAGGCAAATTTTAATTCAGTGGCCAATTCCCTAAGACCTCTTTGTCACAGCCTCTAGCTTCTCTTTGGAAATGTTTTCACTAGAAAAGTAGGTTAAAAGAAAAAAAGGGAGCCATGTCTGATAATTATCAGACTGAAAATCAGTGTCAACGGGAACAATTTGAGTTTACTATCAAGATGTGTGTTGATTGTGATTAACCCCATAATTTCCATAGGGTTTAATCTCAATTGACTGTTTCCTGCTATGTTTGTATCTTTTCCATCTATACTGATTACACAATTATGATTAACACTGTGTTAGTTGAACTGAGGACTCACAACTCTATTCTGACATGAGAAAATATTCTAACGAACTGATACACTAGAAACGAAGTCTGGCCTGATGCATGTTCAGAGGGAAATCTATGTGCTCAAAACTGTAGTTCAATAGTTCAGAGGAATTTCGGTTCATCCACAATAGTTGCCACTGTATTTATTGAGTTAGCTCCCTTTAATAATTCATAGAATCAAAATACCAACTGGGTTGGAAATGACTTCCAAAATCATCAAGTCCAACCCTTGATCCACTACCACTGTGGTTACCAGACCATGGCACTAAGTGCCACATCCAGTCTCATCTTAAAAACCTCCAGGGACGGTCAATCCACCACCTCCCTGGGCAGCCCATTCCAATGTCTGATTACTCTCTCCATAAAAAATTTCTTCCTAATATCCAACCTAAACCTCCCCTGGCACAGCTTAACACCGTGCCCTCTTGTCTTACTGATAGCTGCCTTGGAGAAGAGACCCACGCCTGCCTGGCTACAACCTCCTTTCAGATAGTCGTAGAGAGTGATGAGGTCTCCCCTGAGCCTCCTCTTCTCCAGGCTAAACAACTCCAGCTCCCTCAGCCTCTCCTCATAGGACTTGTGCTCGAGTCCCTTCACCAGCCTCATTGCTCTTCTCCGGACCTGCTCCAGCACCTCAATATCCTTCCTGAACTGAGAGGCCCAGAACTGGACACAGTACTTCAGGTGTGGCCTCACCAGCCCTGAGTACAGGGGAAGAATCATTTTTCTGGTCCTGCTGCCACACTGTTCCTGATACAGGCCAAGATACCATTGGCCCTCTTGACCACCTGGGCACACTGCTGGCTCATGTTCAGCTTCCTGTCAATCCAAACTCCCAGATTCTTTCTGCCTGGCTGCTCTCCAGCCACTCTGTCCTCAGCCTGCAGCACTGCATGGGGTTGTTGTGACCAAAAGTGCAGGACCTTGCACTTGGCCTTGTTGAACCTCATCCTGTTGGAATCAGATCATCTCTCCAGCTTGTCCAGGTCCCTTTGAAGAGCCCTTCTGCCTTCCAGCAGATCAACACGCCCTCCCAACTTGGTGTCATCTGCAGATTTCCTAATGGTACATTCAATGCCCTCATCCAGATCATCAATAAAGATATTAAATAGAACTGGGCCCAACACTGATCCCTGGGAGACACCATTAGTGACCAGCCACTCTGTATCCCTTTCCCCCATGGCGTGGGGTGGCCCAGTTCTAGTTCCATTTCCATCTGAGGAACCATTTCCGACAGCTTGAGGTGGATAGGGAAAGGGAACTCCAGCACCAGGGGTTTCTTCAGGTCCTGAGCCTGGAGGGGAGAGGTGCTTTCCCCTCCCTCCACCCATGTGGTCTCATGGCAGGCACAGAGACACCACACCGGGCATGGAGAGGAGGCAAGAGAGTGTTTATTTTTGGGGGGGTTACATTTATAAGGGTTCGGAGGATTCACAGAGTAACCAATTACAGGTTGCAGGAAGGGGTTAACAACCAATACGAAGCGGTTAAAAGGGGCCAATGAGAACACCTCAGGATATCTCCTCAGGACATTCCTGCATGGGATAACACTTGTCGCGGGGGTCTTGGGAAGAAGAAAGCATGTGTTAGCAAAGAGACTACAAAAAGCCATTTTGAAGCATGTTTAAAGCAGAGTTTTCCCATATAATGCAGGTTTACTGCTACAAGCCACCAACTGGATGTAGCCCCATTCACCACCACTCTCTGGGCCCGGCCCTTCAGCCAGTTCTTACTCCAGCACAGGGTGCCCCTGTCCAAGCCATGGGCTGCCAACTTTTTCAGGAGTGTGCTGTGGGAGACAGTGTCAAAGGCTTTGCTGAAGTCCAGATAGATCACATCCACAGCCTTCCCCTCACCCATCGGGCGAGTCACCTGATCATAAAAGGAAATCAGGTTGGTCAGACAGGACCTGCCTTTCCTAAATGTGTGCTGGCTGGGTCTGATCCCTTGTCCATCCTGTAGGTGCTGTGTGATTGTACTTAGAATTATCTGCTCCACAAGCTTGCCAGGCACTGAGGTCAGGCTGACAGGCCTGTAAGTTTCCCAGGTCCTACTTGCAGACCTTTTTGTGGATTGGCGTGACATTCACCAACTTCCAATCATCTGGGAGCTCCCCAATGAGCCAGGACTGTTGATAAATGATGGAGAGTGGCTTGGTGAGCTCTTTGGCCAGGTC